GCTTATTTGGATTAAATCCGATGAGTGTTAAGAAAGTTATGATCGTTTAAAGTTAAACACCCAAAACGCTAAGAACTTTCCGGACAACCTAATATTTAATGTCAGGCATTGCGTAGGTGGAGGGGTCAAGATGAGTGCGTGTATTGAGCGGCACTTTTCCCTTGATTGATAGACAGTGTCATGGACACAGTGCTTTCTCGTCAGCCTTTGAACTCTTGAAAAACAGGGTACTACTTGAAGACACTGTCCACCGTAATCGAACAGGTGGACAAATGGGCTAACATACCCAAAAGCTAAAATTTCCTCATTGCTCCACGCCTCGGTCCAACAAAGCGAACATGGCAAAAAAGAGGGAAGCGCCAAGGAGGAAAGTGTAATGGTTGACTGTCTCCCCGCCCACGTAGCCACGCACATTACCTCCGTGGACCGCTCCTTCACACGAGGCATGAATCCTGCGACTTTCCTCGTTCTCCGCTATATATGCAACAACCCCTACTATCACAAGTTTGTTGAGTTATGGGCAAAAATTAGGCCCCAAGTTGGATTCTGGCCAGCATCTCTGCTAACCGGTGTAAACGCGTATCCATTACATTCCACTACCGCAGCTCTTACCCCCTCAACACGATGGCTTTTTGTGCCATACCCTCGTCTACTATGTATTCAAATCTTAATATGTATTTTACTACAAAATATTAATATCATTCACAACGATTAGAATCAAGATAACAGTTGAAAACTGCCTTAATAGTTGACAAAGGTATCACAAGAATGCCGAGGTATGGGCACAACCTCTTGATCCCAAACGGGATTCGAACCAGCACCTTTTCGGGCGAGTACGGTAATGCAGCAGTGCGCGTTCAAAAGTCATCAGAGGAGAGTGCTGATGACTGTGGCAGAAGTTTTGTCTCGCAGGCGGGAGACTCCAAATGCAAAATCTCACGACCGTACCGTGAGTGGGCGTGCTTTGAGTCACCATTATATTTCATGTTTTATTGTTTGCTTTTATCTTCTTCTAGTTCTCCGTTTATAGAACAAATTTTTTATTTATTAGTTCACTCACTCTCGCCCTCAAAATTCTGTTATTTTATTACACTGAAGGGGTGAAGCAGGTCTCGGTGTTATTTATCAAGAGCACAACCGTACTCGCACCTAAAGTGTGAAGTGGGCGTCGAAGTGCGCCTGCCTGGTCGAGATTTTTTAGCCACAGCATTACTACTGTCTCAGTTATTATAGAACAACACTAAAAAAATCTCAATTTGTTGTGTTTTTCAAAGTGATTCTAAATCCTTAGCTGCTTATTCTTCTGTCAAGATTTTTATTTTTTTTTGTTTTGGCTCTAAACAGTAGTTATCAGAATAAAACATTTTCATTGATAAAAGTGTTTACAAAGGCACAATTTCAGTTACGTCGAGTGATTCCATCGTATCCGTTACATCGTCGAATGAGCAAATTGGAAATACTTCGCGGTGCTATTCGTTACATTGCCCTGCTGAAGTTCCTACTCAACAATGGTAAAGCCGATCGCCTCCAACGGATCGCGGCTCGATAAGGTCCTCCTTATCAGCCGCTTTCGCGAATTTTGCTTCGAAGCCATTCCGAATCACCGTGATACTTCGGATCAACAAGTAGTAGCACTGCTCGTTTGTACATCGCATAATGAACTACTGCACCTGTAAATTGACTATTTACAAGGTAATAAACAATTTTCTCAACACACTGCGGACCGCTGTTCTACGAGGATCTTCGCATGATTTCGTTACTTTTTAAAGTTACGATTAGTAATTTCATTTGTTTTTTTTTTTTTCATCCACATATGAGGTACTTTTATTTCGTGCAAAAAAGCGTGTTCTTGACAGCTTCAAAACGGGAAATCGATGAATAATTGCCTACAATAGCCACTGGAAGAGGCAAGGAGAGAAACAATGTAATGAATTACCATGTGATGGCAGGGTGTAATTAAGATACCCCTACTGGTCTTGTATAAGGCGCCTTCATTGCTAAGGTCTCAATAACAGAGCGCAAAAATTTTTTAAAGCATCAAACAGTCTTTTAACAAGCTTTTGCATGCTCTTAACTGACTCGCTTCACGGTTCTTACTATAAGTCTACTGTTCGGCGCGTGGACGAAGGGCGTATAGGCAGGATTAATCGGCGTGAGGTGCCATATTCCTTCTCCACCAGTTTACTAGAGCGAGCGTCAAAGCCGCTGTGGCTATATTTCCGTACACTGGTTTTATATTCAGCCTTGCCCCCGCTTCACAGGGCAAATAACATTGGCTTGGCGCGGTGGCATGCAATATTTGCCCTGACCTCCATTCGTACCTGCGAACTAGATTTATATAATACAGACAGATCTCTCACTAAAGGCAAGAGCACAGAAAATACTATTCAAAGCTTCTGAAGCTGTTTAGCTAGGATAACTGCTGTTTAACGCCGCAGTTCGCTTCCGAATGTTATTACAAGAATGCTGAGTTCCGGGCCAAAGTCGTGCCTACGGCGGGAGTCCGCGACCTCACGCTTTCCGGGCGAGATGCGCTATCCGTTACGGGCACCGGACAGCTTATTCTGAGGGTCAGCGGCCCTAGCCGTCAACGGATAGCGGCTGGTCCGAAAGCTTGATTGTGCAGGTTTTACACCCGCTGGGCACGATTTTCCCATAACTTAGCACCTTGTGATTATATTAAGCGAAGGGGCGCATTACACAGTCGCTATCGCTGGAATCAATCCGGAATCAATGTCAGAGCGAAGTGTCGGTCTTGGTGCGGTACGACCCTGTTTCCTAGCATTCACTGGACGCCCGCAGGCATACCGATGGGTGAAAAATTAGCTAGCGCCGCGCTAAAATCCGAGCTTCGCTGATACTCCCCGATCGAATCCAATGGCAACTATACCCGGAAGCGCCCTGAACCCGGAAAACACTGTAATATTGGCGCAGGTGCAGCAGAGGCCTGCTACTGCCGAAGAGTTAGGAGACTAAGTGTTGTCCAGCACGTCAATGAGGCCCATCTTACATGGTACTTCAATGACAAGAAGTCTGGATGGCATGACGTCTCAATGCACGTCACAAACGTGCTATGTGACGTCAGACACGTCATTTCTTAGCACTTATCCTAGTAGACCACGCACCTGCGCTACGTTAACGCTACAATGTGTTCAAATAAAACTTACAGCATTTATGAGCAATGTAAAGTACAAGTATGGGAGGTGTGAAGAAAATTGACGTCGTCGAACGTTCCCATCGATTGTTCTGAAGAAAATACATTTCTCCAATTAGTCATGGTTTCCATAGAGAAACTGATTTGTATTCTTCTCAGTGCAAACTCCTCATTGACAGCAGAATACCTTAGTAGGAAAATCTCTTTGGATGTTATGCACTTTCTTGTTTTATAGAAAACAGGCTTGGGAAGAATAGCCAGTAAAATAGAATAAGGCAACCAAAAAAGTTTGTGAGAACAGCTTTTGACTGATGTTTCCCAAAGATATCCAGTTTCATTGTGTTTCATTGTGGTGGGCAACACCACATATCTCGTATATCGGCGAGAGGGCGTATATACCGACTCCGCTGTGAGAACTAGAGTGATTGCGTGCTTGTGGAATATTTCGTAAGGACAGGGCGGAAGGTGGAGGTATGCAGGGGTGAGCGGAGGGCGGGAGAGAGGTCGTGCTATAGTTGAGAATCCTTTATCCATACTAAATACCCAGTCGTATTAACTGGCGGATACTGTGCCGTAAAAGGGGATTGGGCTCGGCTGCGTGTCAGTACAATTCGCATGATTGTTGCTGCCGTCTTTTGGCGTCTTCAAAAATTGGTAGAGAGCAGGTCAGGGCACAGCACCATGTACTCGGGAATGCTCAAGGGGGGGGGTCGTATTTGGCCGCCAGGAGAGGAGGGGGTCGTATGTGGGCTGAGAAAAATTTATATTGATAGTTGATTTTCCTCGTTTCACGGACGTTGTTAGGTTGGGGAAGGGGGGATCGCACTTGGTCATTGTTGGGAGGGGGTCAAATTCACGTTTTGGAGTTGTAGGAGCGGTGGTCGACCTTTTGTTATTTTCCCTGTGTCATGGCGTGTGTACTAAACCTACTCCCGCGCCCGAGCAGCAAAAATTGTTGATAAAAGTAGGGAATTTCGGGAAATTTTGGAAAAAGTGTCAGGAATTTGAGAAAATCTGAAGAGTTGGTAAAGAATTGGGCGAATTGGTAGGAGGGGGTGTAGCCACTCGTCCGAATTAAAAAAGGGGGCGGGGTCGTACGGAGTCGATGCAAAACCCCACCGACTATGGAGCCTGGGGAACAGGCGCCGGCAAGAGTTAACCCGGTGGACGCCAACATTCATAGTTTACAATATTATCAATGTTCTGCCATGAACCTGCACACTTAAAAAGTCCCATGGGAAAACTCTTGAATAAGTAGTAGAGCTTCAAAAAGCTACCAGAACTCACCAACGTGACACAATGAAGAGTGATGGAAAGACCCAAATAGACGAACGCAGCAATAAGGGTGGAAGCGAATCGTCGAAATAACAAGAAGATAAGTCCAGCTGAAACGAACGTCGACGAGAACGCGATCACCAGCACGATCACTGACAGCAGGATAAGTGTGTCTTGAAGTCTGAAAGTATAATCAAAATTATGTTATGTCTAGTTGATACCGCAGCAATTAGCCAGGCGGTGGAAGACAAAGGGCTGAGTAACGCCCGTTGACTGATTTCCCACCAATAGTGATTGGTTAGTGATCGATTCGGGGAGAAAACGGGCAGTGGTAGAGAAGGCTGCGGGTGTATTCATTCCACGCCTTTCTGGCACCCAGCCACCGCTGATTGGCGACGACCATCCCCCGCCAACGCCCGATGGCAGGCACGGGTACATCATAGTTGGAGATTTGATCCGAGTCCAATGATCCCTCCCTTAATTCGCTCGCTAGTCGGCTGTCTGAGCGGTGGGGCGCAATATGCAAGCGTGAACAAGAAATAGGAAAAACCATTGAGAGTCAACAACCTCGCTCAGAATACCAGAAGGCAAATACGGCACCTCCCCCCATTTTCAAAACCGTCAAGTAGCAACAAGACCTCGTACTTTTTATAGCGTCCCTAACAAGCAAAAATTAACCTCAAATCTTTTTTTTCTCAACCCTTTCAAAACATTTTTTTTCCGCGCTACACCCACGACCACCCCCAAATGCGCACTGTGTCGATGTCACACAAGTTTCAACATGAAGAGGCTGGTGGAGGCGCTAAACCACACCTATCATCACGACCTTCATCCTGGCGACAAGGCCCTGAATTCTGCCGTTTAAGTTTATGACTGCATAGCTACTGTTAAGATATTGGTACTAGGAGGCAGTTTGGCGACGGGGGCACATTTTGCACTTTTGCTACTGCCGTCGACGTGTAAGACCCCAAGAGTGTGCCTTTTGATGGTGACAGGCTTTAACTGGCGCTCGACGAGGCCTGCTCAGCTTCAAAGTGTTCACAAGGTTCACACCAAGAGTGAGACTCGTGAATCGACCTAGTGAAGACGCGGAGAATGCCGCCCCCGATCCGCGCGTGCCGCACTGCGGCTTCATTTGTCTATTAATAATCAGAAATTCATCATAGAACACCGCAATGCTTAGAAGACACTAAGCGAGCACAAACCAGACTAGGCGAACACTCAGACACATCTCAAAGTAAAGTAAGTTCAAAGCAATGTGCGATAAGAAATAAGCGCAGTTTGGCTTAGTGGGAGCACCAAATGCTACTTAGTGAAGCCTTACAGGCAAAGACTTGTCAACACTTGCAACCAAAGTGGTGTACTTGGACCATTTCGTACCTTTACAAGAGCTTACAGGTTTCCCTTACGATGGAACCCCTTACTTCACATGAAGTAGCAGAAGGAACCAGTGAAAGTACAATATGCCCCTCCAAGGCCGAATAGCGCCTAGGAGTCATTGAACAAATGGAACTCACATGTACATCATCAGCAGTACAATGCTGTTACCGAAGAGAAGTACTGCAGCGGCATTGAACGCGACATCGGTGACAAGCATTCCAATTTGTGCTCCAAGTAGAAGAGGATATTTGCTGTTGCCCATCTTCTCAACTGGGATGGGGGGGACTGCTGATGGGTTTTCACGTTGAACCGAGAAGCACCTAACGAAAGAGCGCACACGTATTACCGCACACGTGTCGTTATGGCAACCGACCGATGCCGACGGCAACGCGACGGCAATGATACCGAATTCCAATTGCGCGCTTCGGCCTGAACGCCTCTCTTTGCTGTCCGCCTTTCTGACTGCTAATTACTGCACATATTCCAGGAGGATTTTCCTCAGAACCTCTTATTTTCTACGAAATTTCGAGAAATGCCATCTTCTTTTGCATTGGTTCTCTTTTTCAATGACATCACTGAGTTCCTGAACTCCACAATTCACCAAACTTCTTTCTGTACTGGTCGATTTGCTTGGTTACTTTAATTGCTACTCTTCTCAGCAGAAAGTAGTAATCCAACATGAAAGGAATTCTGCAGAAGTCCATGTTTGGAGTAGCAACGCCGATGCGTCACCCTTACTGGCTGCTTTTATACCTTTTTGTCTCTCTTCTCCCCTTTGTTTTCCCTTCATTCCCTCCTGCCTTTGAATTACTTCTGTTGAAGGGCATTTTAGCGTAGCTTGTTCAACATTCAAACATTTGCTACAGTGCTGTTCGCTGCGGATGATGGGGCGTGCCAAGGAAATGGGGTGTCCCAAGGGGATAAGTTGGGCAAGGGGCCCAGCGCGTTCCTTTCTCTTCTTTCCTTATCTTTTTCTTTTCTTTTGGCACGCAACAAGGCTGTGTCACACCGTTCGTATAAGTCGCTTACAACTACTTTGTTGCTTACTCGTTCCAACAAGTGGTAAAGAAAGAGCTGCGCCAGAATGCAGCACTGGCTTGCTTCTTCATCTGCAGCGAACACGCCCGTAAGTGTGGCTAGTGCAACGCTCAATCATTTTTTACCCAAAGGGGAGAGTTTCCATGAGATTTCCCAAAATCTGTCAGGAACTGGAAATGGTCAGCGTAGTTACCTTGAAGGTGAGAAACTGACATCGAGGGAAGCTTTTACCGGATACCGCTCAATTTACAAATCCCTCCCCCTTTCGCCCGCTACCCCTGTCGGTCAACTTCGAGGTTTCCCTCCCAATTATCTTAAGGAAGCGCTGATGGCAATTACCTCAACAGAACACCCAGACTGGAATTTTATTACAATAAAGT